TATCATTGTTATTGTTTCAACCTCTATAAGAGGAAAATTGTCTCTAATACAACGAATTTTTGTGTACTAAAATATCTCATGAAGATCAAAAGGTCATATAGCTACAATAATATGTGTAATGACTGTTTGAGGTTTAATATCTTTGCATAAAAATAAAAAATCCTACCTAATGTAGGAGAATTCCACGTCGAATGAAAAATGGATGGGAGGTTGAATTAGCTAGACCCAAAATTCATTCCAATATTGTTACCGATGATGTTAAGCCCCCTTATTGAATTGTCCACACATCAGATGTCCAATCTTGAACTGAAGTAGGGTGTTGAAGAGTCTCACATTGAATGAAAAAAGGATGGATAATCTCCTCGTATGACTAGTTCGAAGTTGTGTTAGGCCCAAAATCCATTTCACTCATTATAATAATATTTCGTTAAACGATGTTCAACTGACCACAGGTTGTGTTGTTATGAGTCATTTAAAAGGATTTTTTGTTGGACAGAATATTGATATATTTTCGACAAAGATTAATAACATAACCTAATTTTGTGGGAGTACGAAGTTGGTGAGGACATTCACATACCCATTGGTCCCATCCATTTTTGGGCCAGAAGGATATTTAGATGAAAGAAACTGAAAAGGACAGCCCAAGCCCACATTGGTTATGTTGTTACCCCCACCAGATATATATTTGACAATTCATTAATACTATATGAAATATTTTCGTACTTTTTCTGTTCATATTTGTATAAAAATTGACAGCGCTATAAATTCATCAGAGAACAATCGTCCAACGACTTGTCGTGAATTACGTTGCGCGGAGTAAAAATTGACAAATTTTTCTAGCATGTTATGATTTTTTATCCATTCTGAAAAGTAATAACAAAATAGTCATATTTTAACGTAAAGAAATATAATCAGCTAAAAATAACTCTCAATTCAAATTTTGGAAAAACTTATACAGATTATATGTTTCTTGGTTTCAAGATTGTAAAGGCTTGAAACTGTAAATTAATCCTTGGTTTTGAAACTCTAGCAAATTTTCAAAACTCATGATATATTCCTTGGTCTTAAACTTATATAGGTTTGAAACTTGTGAATTCTTCTTTAATTTTGAAACTCATAACAAATTTTTGAAAACAATTATGTGTATAAGATTTGGACTAGCTAGGAGTGTAAATTAGCACATAAAAACATGACTCGTGCAATCCGCCAGATGTGTCTTACCAATTTCAGCCCCCACATAAAGCATGTCTTAACACATTTCTGCCCATCTAAATGTGGGCTAATATTTAACTTAAATTGATCCATACAAACCTTACTAGTAAAATATTTTGATTTTCTTTTTTGGAGGGGAAAGGGGGTAAATGTATTTTTTGGGGGGAAGGGGGTAAATATTATTTATAGCCATAATAAAGGGGGTAAATAGTTATATTAAATAATTAAAAATTATAAGAGAACAAACAAAGAAATTAAAACATATTAAGAAATGAATGGTCGTATCATTAAACCATCCCTTTATTAACTTAATTCATTTTAATCCGTCCAAATCTGATCCAAACTTTCTATGCGAAACCACTAATTTGTACCCCATAAATCCTTTCTTGGTTTTAAGCCTTGTGAGGTTTTTTGTCCCGCATTTTAGTTGATATTTTTGTCAAAAACCAAATTTGAGACAAAAAATGGCTAAATGTTAAATAGTTTTTACAATACTATTTGATAGACGTTAAAATTGGCCATTTTCCCATTTCGTCCGTTGCGTGGTAATATGGGATTTTGACATGTTATTGTAGGCAAGAAAAGCCCAAAAAATAAGCCCACGTATATGCACTGCAAATTCGAGTGGAGGCCCAACTTTTAGTCATATATACTATTTAAATAAATTTTACACATAATTTTATGTTTGGGGAAACTAAGCAAATACCCCATAAATGTAAAATAATACAAACATATACCCCTTTATATTCATACCCCACTAAATAATTACATTATATACCCCAAACTAATTTTGTTTAACTTATACTAAATAAATACCGTATATTGCATTGATATCATTAATGCTGATAATTTTTCTTAATTGATACTAAATCAGTACATATAAATTGTATTAGTATCATTAAGGTTTATACTCTTATAGGATCATTGACTAATGAGTAATTTATGAACAAGAAACCTTAATGATACTATATATATACTCTTATATATAGTATATAAGAGTATATATATAGTATCATTGACTAATGAGTAATTTCTGAACAAGAAATCTTAATGATACCACAACTATATACATATACTCTTATAATATCATTAACTAATGAATAATTTCCAAACAAGAAATCTTAATGATACCACAACAATATACATATACTCTTATAGTATCATTGACTAATGAGTAATTTATAAAAAAGAAACATTTAATGATAACAATACAATATATATATACCAATTTAGTATCAGTTAAGTGAAATTGTCAGTTTTAATGATACCAATACGATATATGATGTTGATTAAGTATCAGTTCAACAAAAATTATCAGCCTTAATGAAGGGGGTATGGGCTGTAATTATTTATGAGAGAATGGGTATTTCTTGAATAACTTTGGATTTAGGGATGACAATGGGGCGGTGCGGGGTAGGGTGGGTTGGGTTGAGCTTAACCCGTAAAAATTTTAACCCGCTCCGCATAATTTTTTTTTAATTATTTATTTTTCTAGTTAAGTTTGGTACTAAAAATAAAATTCATAAAAATAAATTCATTTTTTCATTAAGTTGTATTAATTTAATAGGATAGTAACTTAAATTTTATTTTTTAGAGGTCAATTGGAAAACATGTAAGAAATTGAATTATTTTTATTGAACATTTTCATTTACTATCTTGAATATTTTAGTAGCTTTAAGGAATTTACCTTAATAAATGATGCTCAATCACTTTTATAACATGTAAAAAATTAAAATTAAGTTTAAACTCACATACAATCACATATACCCGCAACCCTCCCTGCCCCGCATTAGTTTTAAATAAACCCACTTCAATCCGCCCCGCACAACCTTAAACCTGCTCTGCGCCGCATAGCCTTAAACCCACTCCACCCTGCATCCGATCCCGCCCCACTGCCATCCCTATTTGGATTTGAATATGAATATGTAATTATTTTGAATTTTATGGCCCATTTATATAGTTTTCTATAAATTTTCGAGAAAATACATAATTACCCCGTCGAATTTATACCCTTTTTTGAAGTAGACACTTTAAGTTCGTGAAAGTCCTATTACCCCACGAAATTATTTTCAACCACAATAAATACACTATTTTAACATCATCTGCAATCTCATGGCCAGCGAGTGTCTCACCTCCAATTAAAATAATGTAACTGTATTTTTTCTTGGCTCTTTAATAAAGGGTTGGGTAAAACCCAGACTCGTTCAAAATCTTGACTAATTCCCCTTTTTATCTTAAATATTTTGTACATAAATCACGATGACTAGAAAATTTTAGAAACTCCATTGCAGATGTTTGTATAACTTTTACAGTGGCTGATAGAAAAAGCTTCATCATTGGAGAATTTCATAGTGACGACTCAAATGGCATCTTTTTTGTTTATGGGTACACAAGAATGTGATCAAGTTAAGTAAACAATACAGGCTCAATATGATTAAAACCCTCTTCGAAGAAGCAGGAAACAAACGGATGCATCTCATGTCCTTCATCGATCTATCTGTTATCGAACCCTAAATGGTACGAACGTGCATTAGTCTTTGCAGTCCAAGGTGTATTCTTCAACTCATTCAGATTTGACGTCCCCAAATTAGCTTATCAAATTGTTGGGTACTTAGAGAAAGAAACAATGAATTTGTAAACAGAGTATTTTGGTTGTTAAAGAAAAGGGACTTTTCGAGAACTCGCCAACTCCAAAAGTTCATTTGGCATCTCGCATTTATAGATCGAACTATTGAATTGAGAGAAGAGAATTTTTTTTGGCTAAACATGGAGGGCTCTTCAATGGCAATCAGGAGGTTTGTGGAAGATGGAAAATGGTCTATTTAATAAAGAAAATAATTTTTTTAATTGGTATGCCACATGGCACTAAAACATTGTCTTATGGATTAATTTCTACTCCTTCACACGCTCTCGAATTTGAGATTGCACATGCTCTGAAAATGGGTTAAAATGGTGTATTTATCATGGTTAAAAATAGTTTCGTGGGGTAATAGGACCCCCGCAAACTTAAGGTGTCTACTTCAAAAAAAAAGTATAAGTTCGATGGGGTAACTATGAATTTCCTCTAAATTTTCCTTTATATTTCGCGTCAAAAGTTATGAATTCAATTTGAACTCTTTTAATTATTTCTAAACACGCCTTTTAGAGGACAAAAGAAAACAATCCAAAATATACCGTATTACAAGTTCAAACCATTGGATTTAAGTCTCATCTCGATTTTTCTTTTAACTATGTGATTCTTTTTTAGCAAATCGCCAAGATGATGTTTGCAAGGTCATTTTCTTTTATTTAAATTGTATAAAGAAAAAATTACTTAGATGGGTATCTTTTAATAAATAATTACTTATTTTAGCGATACTTTTTATTCATTATCATTTATAGCAATACTATATTAAATCTGTAATATGTATTAAAAGTGAATTATGTATGCAATATATATGTATTATAACTATATTTTTTTAAAATATATTATGTTTGTTTGGCAAGAAATTGACACATTATATTATAAGTGTATTAAAATGTGTGTTAAATGTATGATATATCAATAAAACTTGTATTATATGTGAATAATAAATTGTTCTTTGTAATATGTATTAAAACTAAGCGTGGCAACGGGACAGGAACCGGTAATTTCGGAAAAAAATATGCATACCCGTCCCGGGACCGGAAACCGGGTCCCAACCGCTATATTTTTTAAAAAAAAATTAAAATTAAAAAATTAGTAACATTACTCAAATAATAGTAAAACTTTTATAATTTTAAAGTTAAAAATTTATACTTTTAAAGTTTTAAGTATAAACTTTCAAACTACTTTCAAACTTTAAAAGTGCATGTGCCAAGTCATGGTTCACCATTATTTCACGTGTTTTGGCTTCAATTCCCTTATCCCCCTTATAATTCTTCCATTCATCATCCATGACCATTTTCTCCAAAGAAGATTTCACTTTGCGAATTCGGGTGATCATAATGGTGTGTGAGGCAAATCTTGTTTCACCAACCTTCAACAAACACAAATCCGAATATTTTTGAAAAAGTGCATGTGCCAAGTCATGGTTCACAACAAAGTTCTTCAAATTACTCACTTCACTAAGTAACTCTAAAATCCATTTACAACTAGTAAAGTGAGGTGATTTTTCCGAAGGTTGGCACATACTTTTCAAAGCTAGATTCAAACAATGAACAACACAAGGAGTCCAAAATATATGAGGATATTTTTGCTCCACAATAGTACCGGCAAGTTTCATATTACTTGCATTATCCGTAATAACTTGAACAACATTGTTTGAACCTACATTTTCTATTGCTTCAATAAATAAGTTAGCAATATATTCACCATCTTTTACGATTCCACTAGAATTGATTGAATTTAAAAACATTGGACCTCCACTAGATGATGCCATTATATTGATCAAAGGTCGTCTTTTAGTATCGGTCCATCCATCCGAACAAATCGACAATCCTTTCTTTTTCCATGTACCTTTAATTGGTTGCAACTTTCTATCAATATGTGTTTTTTCTTGAGCTAAAAGAGTTGTCCTCAATCTATTATATGATGGGGGAATATAACCGGGAATGGAATTTTCGGCTAGAAACTTAGAATATTTTTTAAAATAAGGAGAGTTTGCAAAGTTGAACGATAAACCTGATGCGTAGAACATCCTAGCGGCTAATTTGTCGGCCGTATTTCTCTCATAGATGCCGAATGATTTTCCTATAGCTCCACTACTCGAACTCTTTCTCTTTTTTTGTTGAATTAAATCAGTCCCCTCCGGAAGTGATATATAATCAGCTTTGTTTCTTGCATCAACTTGAACAACGGTTCTTTTTCTTTCGGCTTGTTCATGCTCCATCTTCAAAGTCGCATATATATCACCACTACTTTCTTTACATATTTGAACACCATGACCCGATAATCTCAAAAGATGTGCTTTCACCCTATTATATGATCCCGTAACTATTTTATTGCCATAGTTACAAGACCATGCTATATTCCCACCCCCATCTGGAGCAATCAAAATAACTTTCACATGATTCCATAGAGGTTTATCATCAAAATCTACTCCTACACTTTTTGTAGGTCTCATAAAATATTTTCCTTTTTGACTACTTGATGACATCTTGTTAAACAAAGGAAAATGAATTTTTTTTTGGTTTACAGTGAACTTGAATGAAAAATCAAAGAAGAAACTACTCTACTGGAAAATGAAATTTTTTTTGGTTTTAGGAGGGAAAAGTTGGTGACAATGGAAAGATTTTTGGACTAAGTTGATGGCTGATGGGATGTCATCTTTTTTATGTTACTCTACTTGGAAGACTTTTTGAGCTTTTCTTTTTTTCAAGAGGAGTGTATGTATTGTGTACATATATTTTTACTATTTTAATTTGAATTGTTTTTATAGTTCTAATAGAAATAAAATTATTTTATCTAATTTTAATTTATGTGAGATCGTTTGGATAGAATGTTTTTATCTAGCGAGACATGATCCTCGATCTGGATATGATATATATATATTTCTAGTATTTCGATAGTTCGAAGCTTATAATGATAGAAAGAATCAAAAGATCTAGTAAAACGGGATCCTTAAAGCGCTTGTATTGATATGAAGAATTAAGTGATCTAGCGAGACATGATCCTTGATCTGGATATGATATTGTGCGTGAAACTATATATATATATATTTTTTCTAGTATTTTGATAGTTCGAAGCTTGTATTGATAGAAAGAATCAAAAAATATAGTAAGACGGGATCCTTAAAGCGCTTGTATTGATATGAAGAATTAAGTGATCTAGCGAGACATGATCCTTGATCTGGATATGATATTGTGCGTGAAACTATATATATATATATTTTTTCTAGTATTTTGATAGTTCGAAGTTTATATTGATTGAAAGAATCAAAAGATTTAGTAAGACGGGATCCTTGATGCGCTTGTATTGATAGGAAGAATTAAGTGATCTAGAGAGACATGATCCTTGATCTGGATATGATATTGTGTGTGAAACTATATCGTCTTTTTTTCTAGTATTTTGATAGTTCGAAGTTTGTATTGATTGAAAGAATCAAAAGATTTAGTAAGACGGGATCCTTAAAGCGCTTGTATTGATAGGAAGAATTAAGTGATCTAGCGAGACATGATCCTTGATCTGGATATGATATTGTGCGTGAAACTATACATATTTCTAGTATTTCGATAGTTTGAAGCTTGTAATGATAGAAAGAATCAAAAGATCTAGTAAGACGGGATCCTTAAAGCGCTTGTATTGATAGGAAGAATTAAGTGATCTAGCGAGACATGATCCTTGATCTGGATATGATATTGTGCGTGAAACTTGATTTGGTTTGGTTTGATTTTTCTCTTTTATATTTGAATTTTTTCGGTTCGATTATTTGGTTATGTCATAATTAGAAACATAATCAAAGTTATATTTGCAATTTTATATATATATATAATTTGGTTTTTTTCGATTTCTCCCTTCTTTTTTCTAGAATCCGAAACCAAAACAAGAAATCAATCAATATAAATATTAATCCAAAATTAAATAAAAAAATTAATCCAAATTAGAATTCGATTCAAATTTAATGTAAATTATTAGCATGTATTTAAAAATATTTACATAATAATAGTAATATTAATCAGTAATTAATTCATGCAAGTAAATATTTACACATAAAGCACCTTTCAAATAAAAATCTCTATAATATTGTTAGATCCCATTTTTCAATCCAACTCGTCCTATTTATATGGACAAAATATTTATCTTTCAAAATATTGTTCCCTTCTCTCCTTTTCTAACGTCTCTTTTCCTATTTTTGGACTAGTTGATGGCTGATGGGATGTCATCTTTTTTATGTTACTCTACTTGGAAGACTTTTTGAGTGTATGTATTGTGTACATATATTTTCAAGAAAGATAAAAAAAAAAACTCTGTATTTCCTTTACTTTTTCAAGAAAAAACTCTTCTTTCTTCTCTTCTCTGTACTTTTTCAACTTTGTCCTCTTTACATCGCCGTCACCGGAAATTGATTTTTTCTTCCCCAAATCTTTTCTCGGCTTCGGTCAAAGTGTCCCAAGTTGATAAAGTATATAAGTTCTTTTTAAAAAAAATAATAATTAAAAATAAAATAAAAATATGCAGTTGTAACGTGTTAGATTCCATTTTTTGTGGAAAGAGAAATTTAATTACCTTTACGTAACCTTTTTATTTAATACTCTACGATTAAATAATAACTTAAATATGGTGATTAACGTTTGTGTGTGTTTGATGCCCTTTTTTTGTGAAAAATATTTTAAATTAGTTAAACTTTATTATTTAAAATTATCATCTAATAAATCCTTAAATTATAAACCCCTGTAAATTTCTTTCAAAATTGATCATTTAAATAATATTTAATATTTTAAGTTTTATATCAGATTTTTTCTTATTTACATTTTAAAATAAATATTTTTTTTTAGAAAATTAAAAAATTCAACCAATAATAACAATAACAACAACAACAACAACAATAATAATAATAATATAAAAACACATCACCTAAATAGGGCGTTTTAATATTCCTTTTTTAAAAATAAATAAATAAAGTAATTATCCAACTAAATAGGGAGTTTTTTAAAAATTAAAACTTCTCATTTTTAGTCCTACTTATAAACAAATTGAAAAAAAATTAAAATTAAAATTATTTAAATTATTTCTCTAAAAAAACATACTAACTAAACAATCTGTTTAGTTTACGTGAAAATTTCTTCTTTGTTTTATTTTCTTAAAATTATTTTTATTCTGACAATTAAAATTTAATAAAAATAATAATAATAATAATAACAACAACAACAATTATAATAATAATATAAAAAACATCCACCTAAATAGGACGTTTTGATCGTTATCTTGAAAAAAAAAAGTAATTATCCAACTAGATAGGGAGTTTTAATATTTTCCCATTACACTCCTACTTCTAAACAAATTGAAAAACTTTTAATTAAAATTATTTCTTTAAAAAAATGTACTAACTATTGTTTAGTTTACGTTAACTAAATATCTTATTTGCTTTTATTTCTAAAATTAAAATTTTATTTTGACAATTAAAATTTTAAAATTCAAAAACTGAATGCTAAACAATTAAATAAGAAATATGAAGTTAAATTTTTTTAGATATCTCCATCATTATTTTAAAATTTTAAAATTGATTGTCAAAAAATTAAATAAGAAATATCTATCTATATATATATATATATATATATTATTTCCAACTGATTTTTTTTTTCTAACGTCTCTTTTCCTATTAAGTTGGTGAGAATGAAAAAGATTTTGGACTAGTTGATGGCTGATGGGATGTTTCTTTTTCTGACACTACTCTACTTGGAAGACTTTTTATCTTTCTTTTTTTCAAGGGTATATGTATTGTGTACATATATTTTCAAGAAAGATTAAAAAAAAGATTCTCTATTTCCTTTACTTTTTGAAGAAAAAACTCTTCTTTCTTCTCTTCTCTTTACTTTTTCAATTTTGTCTTCTTTACGTCGCGTCGCCCTCGCCGGAAACTGATTTTCTCTTCTTTCTTCTATTTTCTGTACTTTTTCAAGCTTTGTACTCTTTACGTCGCCGAAAACTGATTTTTTCTTCCCCAAATCTTTTCTCGGCTTCCATCAAAGTGTCCGGATCGGATTGACCGAATCCGACACGCACCCCGCACCCGCACCCGCACCTGTGTTGCATCGAGACGGATTCGCCTGCAAATATGAAGAGTCCGCACAACATAGTCGGGAGCAGGACAACGAAAGGGAGCAGGAGCCGAGGAAGAGGGACTGAGAGTGGGAGTAGTAGCCGTAATTGGCTCAGTTTCATCATCATTATATTCATCAACATTATTATCAAAAGTATTAATATAATCATTAACATCATCATGTTCATCATCTTCAGGTAATTCCTCATCAAAATTACCAAACATTCTTTGTAATTGTTCATGATAAGGATCTAATCCACTATTACTATAAATATTAAAAACAGTTTCATTAACATGCATATAATCATCCGTATTTATTCTTAATTGAGTAAGTTTTGTTAGTTTTAGATTTAGAAGTACTACCGATTTTTTATTTTTCTTGGATTTTGAGGTAGATAAATTAGTGAACGAATTAACTATGGTTGTTGTACCCTTTCAATAATGTTTTTACCGAAATCCATATTCAAATATAAAAAGTGAGTAAAATTATATATTATACGAAAATGTAATGCAAAGTTTTAAACAAATAAATAACTAAATAAGTAGAGACTAGAGACTAATTACTCACAAAATAAATAATTAAATGCAAACAAATAAATAACTAAATGAAAAGTGAGTTGGAACGAATGTACCAAACGTCTACTTAAAAAAGTAGATGTGTATGCCGAAAATTGAAAGTTGAATTTTGAAGCTCCAATTTCCAAAGATCAAATTCGTAAATTTAATGTTAATGAGAGATTAGAGAGTGAGACTTTTGAGAATTGTTGAGAGAGTAGAAGATAATATTTTTGTGAGTGAAAAGAATGAAGGATTTGGGGTATTTATAGTTAAAAAAAAGGATGAAAATGTAGTTTTTAGAAGGTTGGGGTGTTAAAAAATGTTTGAGGGGGTAGGGGGTGTTTTGGGGAGTTGTGGGGGTGAAAGAGCTGTTGTGGGCCCCAAAAGACGTTGGCCAACGGCTCCTACAACGACTAATTGCAATTTTTTTTTTAAAATGGACCGGAACCAGGACTAACCGGTAAATCCCGGTTTCTGTCCCGTTACCCCTCCTGGACCCGCTACTAACCGGACCTAACCGGTACAAGCCGGAATCGAGACGGAATCGGTAACGGACCGGAACCAGAACCGGCACCTCCCGATTCCGTTGCCAGACTTAATTAAAACTATATTATAAATGTATTAAAACTGATCAAATGAAGAATTTTTATTTTATTTTTTATCATAGTATATTTATATAAGTTTCCCTAATAATAACGTGTACTCGATATGGTGCATGTTCATCTTACCAATGAGAGGCCCAACTACAAAATTGGAAGAAGGCAATACTCATATTTTAGAAGTTCTTTGTGGGCTATTCAGATGAGTGGTGATACAAGACCACACAATATTGTTGATGG